AGCCGTGGAGCCGAGGAGGGAAGGGGAGAGAGGAGGAGAGAGGAAGCAGGGGGAGGGAGGGAGGGAGCTAGGAGCCAGAATGGGGGGGTGCCTTGGCAGAGTTAACTCCTTCAGTGCTGGCAGGAACCCGGATAATGGGAAAGGAGATACAAGCAGTAGGAGAGAGGCTCTGAGGTAAACATGGAGACCTAGCCAGCCACCAGAGATGACAGCAAAGACAATGAGGCTGGATTTCATTTCGTAGAGGAGGCAGCACCCATATTGGGCTGGGAGCACCCATGGTTATTTAAATATTGAAGGGAGCCCATGGTAGGGGATAAGGTGTGAGGAAGGGGCTAGCAGGAGGGAATCCCTGGGGGTCTAGTTGTCCCTCAGGCTACTCAGGAGGAAGCCTGAAAAGTAATTATGCTCTGGACTCTTTAGTGCCTGAAATTGGGGCAGGCAAAGAGAAGGGGTTAGAAAGAGGGAGAAGGGACTATGGAGGGGAGTATTCTCAGTGCCCCCAAGTCCCTGGGCCACTGACTCAGGATCTTGTCACCAGGGCCCCCAAGCCTCAGTTTAATATCAGTAAGACTTTGCTCACCCCTCTAGCCCTGCCTGCTTCCTCAGGAAGTTAGGCACTCACCCCCTCCTCCTTACCTGACTCTCTGAGATGGATGCCTCGTAATAGTCCAGGATGTCTGTCACAGGAAGAGAACTGAGTTACCCTCCCCCACCCCAGGCTTTTCAGTCAGATCACCCTTGCCACCATCGCTGCTGTCGGTCTGGTACGGGAGGAGCTCTTCTGGTCCATGCTAATGGGGAGCATCATCATGGGCAGGACCCTCCATGGGACTCCAGCTTGGACCGAATGATTTCCAGGCTCCCAACCAGACCCGAAGTTCAGTGCAGGCACTCACAGTCCCAGGCCAGCTCCTTCCACCACTGCCCCACAGTAAATTGGGCTACTCACCCAGCAAGGCCTGGAAGAGGTCACTGTGCAACACTGTGAGAAGAGGGGGTGCCCACCGCAATAGTGGGGGAGCAAGGAGCCAGAGGGCTGACCTGGGAGCTAGTGAAATGCAAGTGAAGGAGGACAGGGACAGGGAAGAGACAAACAGACACACTGTCACTTCATCTTCCCCAGCCTTTGTCCTCTTACCCCAGGCCTTATGGAAAGGTTCAGGGAGAAGGATTGCTGAATCCCAGCACCCCACTTTGCTCCCATGCCTCCCCTGCACAAGGACCCCTGTTTTTCACCTCTTGGTCTCTGGGACATCTCTCTCTTCTCTCACTTTAATCTTCCTAATCCGCCGGGATTGGAGTTGAGCTGCCTTCTCCCCACCCAATTCCACCTGTTAGTAAAGTAGGCAGTCTCTGAACTGACCAGTTGTCCCATTCTTTCTCAGGTCTCCCAGCACCACCACCACTTTGCTCCACAACCTGGCCTCCTGGCCCCAAAGCAGCATAACGAAGTCACACTTTCCTGAGGTGCCAGGGAAGAGGATCTCGTCCCAGGAGCTCAAAAAGTAAGGAAGCCGAGCCCAGCTCTCTTTCCTCCTGGGCCTGACCCCAGTGGGAATTGCAGAAAGAGGGGTATAAATTGCTTGGGACTTCTTGACCCCAGGGTAGAGAAGCGGGGGTAGAGGGTGGACCATAAGCATTCCTACAGTTGTCTCAGGCCTGGGAAGAAGTCATCTTCCCAGAGGTTTAGCCTGGGCACAGGGTCTCTAGAAGGAACAGAGGGGAGAGAGAGAGAGACAGATGTTCCACAAGGGCTCAGAGGCTTTAAAGGAGAAGCGGTAAGCCCAAGGGTCCTTCTTACTGTGACACTGTAGTGGTTTCAAGGGTTAGCGGTACCTCCTAGGTCTCAGGAGAGCACACCTGGAACACTCACACCCCAGCTTGAGTCCTGCCTGCCATTGTGCCCTCCTTTTGTGTGGGTGGAGACAGACTTCATAAGGAACCCCAAAGAGTCGTCTTTCCATGGCTCTAACTTTGGCATCTACCTTTACACTCCTCTTCTGCCTTCTCCCTTCTAAACTTCCCTTGGGAAGTACTCTCTTCAGTCTACCTCCATCCCTCTGACTGCAGTCTTCTAAGCTCCTCCCTCTTCCGTCTCATTCTATTCCATCACCCCTTCAGAAGACTAGACTCTATTTGGGACAAGCAGGATGAAGGTGTTTGGGGGAGACAAAGGACGCTTGGAGATCACTCTAGGTCAGTCAGAATGCAGGGACCGGGGTGCTCGGGAACTACAACTCCCAGCAGCCCCGGCGACCGGAAGCCGCGCCTGCCCGCCGCCCAGTGCATTGTGGAGGATGAGTCAGGGCCGGGGGCACCCAGACTCCGGCAGACTGAACGCCAGAGCTGGGTCGGGGCTCAAGACTGCGGCGGCCGGAACGGCTCGGAGATGCAGGCGACTCGGATAGCCCCAAGTGTGGGGTGGCAGCTGCTGCGGTTGGGGGGCGGAAGGTCTGTATGACAGAAGGGACAGGGGGCAGCGGGCCTGGGAACCGGCAAGAACTGAACGTTCACTCCCCACAGTTCATGGCCCAGTGCGTTCCTGAGGCAGCCCCGACCTGGACCTGCCCGGCGACCCTATGCCAGTGGGGCAGCTCAGGTAAGTGACAGCCACCCTTGGGAAGGGTAACAGGACAACGCGGGGGTCGACTTCCACTTCCAACTCCCCGCCGCCAGCAGGGGTCTCCCTCTTGGTCCCAGTCACCTGCCCACAGCTCTGACGCCGAAAGTAGGGGAAAGGGCAGGCCAGGGTGCCCTGAGGTGAAACTAGGGGAAAGGTCACTGGACCCGCCCCTCCCCCACACGCAGCTCTTGCCTTGTGCCCTCCTTTGGCACATTGAAAGCTCCCTTTCAGGCTCGCTAACCATCCCATTCCCCAGGCGGTTTTGGAAAAGTCAGAGTCCCTCCCTGATGCTTCGACCAGGGATAAACAGGCCAAGGCGGTACGTAGCCCTGACACCGGGCGGATAAAGGCGGTACGTAGCCCTGAGACCGGGTGAATCTAAGCCGAGGACAGACTCATCCCAGCCAGCGCCCTGAAACCTCCTTCTCCTTGCCCAGGAATCTAAGTCCTTTGCTGTGGGGATGTTCAAGGGCCAGCTCATCACCGAGCAGGTGTTCCCATATCCAGCCGGTAAGGGAAGGGGCAGTCAGAGCTGGGTGGGGACAGGCTGGTTTCCTATAATCGCTTTGCCTGACTGGCTTCCCACTGCCACCCCCGCAGTGCTCAACGAGGAGCAAACACAGATTCTCAAAGAGCTGGTGGGACCTGTATCCCGTTTCTTCAAGGTGAGGAATGACTGGGACTTAGTCCTGGTGGGGTGGAGACGTTAAGGAGCTTAAAAGGAGTCTGGATGTGGGATTCTGTGCCTTTCCCAGGAGGTGAACGATGCTGCCAAGAATGACTCTTTGGAGGCGGTGGAAGAGACCACTTTGCAGGGCCTCAAGGAGCTGGGGGCCTTTGGTCTGCAAGTGCCCAGTGAGCTGGGTGGTGTGGGCCTATGCAACACTCAGGTGAGGGAAACCTCACCACTTCCCCACCGGGCACTTCCCTACTTCCCATACTCCAGCTTGGCAAATTCAGCTCCTTCCTCATCCTTAAAGCTAAGACCTTTCTCAAGCACCTGCCCTGGGGGCTTGTGAGGTGAATGTTGACTCTTCTTGCAGTGTACACACCCCCCCGCCCAACATCAGAGTCTACATGCAATCCTCCAGGGCCAACAGCCATGGACCTCACCCTGATTCCCAAGTCCTCAAAAAATCTCTTAAGTTGGAGACTGCTTGAGGATAGTAGGAAGTCTTCCTCCTACCAAGACAGAGGACAGGAACCACCATCCTCTGCTGTGCCCTTTTCATTGTCCTGCTCCCTCCATGTGGATGGCCCAGGCCGGGCCCTGCCCTCTTGTCCCCACTCTCCTGCTAAGGGCAGGTGCTATGCAGCCAGTTACAGTCCCAGATGCCTGCTTCCCCTCCAGTATACCCGCATGGTGGAGATCGTGGGCATGCACGACCTTGGAGTGGGCATTACCCTGGGGGCCCATCAGAGCATCGGTTTCAAAGGCATCCTGCTCTTTGGCACAAAGGCCCAGAAAGAAAAATACCTCCCCAAACTGGCATCTGGTGAGGCAACCCTAGGAGACCCAGGGATTGGGGGTGTCCTGGGCTTGGCATAGCTTAGGCCAGCTGGTACTTAGATCACTATGTAGTTGGGCATTTGGGCTGGGGCAGACTCCCGGGAGGCATCACAATATACTGGTTGGGAAATGCAAAAGAAAACTGGATACTGCCAGAGGTGTTAAGGGAGAACTGCCTGGGGGTATAAGGAGGTGGGTTGAGGGGACTTAGGTGTCCACTAGAACTCATGGTAAAGGAGCTTCCTCCCCAACAGGAGAGACTCTGGCAGCTTTCTGTCTAACCGAACCTTCAAGTGGGTCAGATGCAGCCTCCATCCGAACCTCCGCTGTGCCCAGCCCCTGTGGAAAATACTATACCCTCAACGGAAGCAAGATTTGGATCAGGCAATCTGCCTCCCATTTCTCCCCCTCTGCCCAATTTCAGGCCCTACTGTTTGTTCCCAGTCCTCCATGCCCTGACTGTCCCCTCATTCTTTCACAGTAATGGGGGCCTGGCAGACATCTTCACAGTCTTTGCCAAGACACCAATTACAGATCCAGCCACAGGGGCAGTGAAGGAGAAGATCACAGCTTTTGTGGTGGAGAGGAACTTCGGGGGTGTTACTAAGTGAGTGGATTTGGGGGATGGGGCAAGAGGTAGGACCAAGGGGCAGTACTGGGCAGAGGATTGTTACAGGTCATCCTAGGGATGTGTGCAGAAGCCAAAATAGTAGGTAGCATGTAACCTTTGAGATTAATATGTATGGAACTCATCCAAAGCGTTGGCTCCAATAACCAAGTCCAACACACAGTAGCAGGACAAAGCCAAGCCTCCTCAGTTCTCAGGGCACCTGGAGAAGTGTTGCCTGTACCCTCTTACAGTCTGGGAGTTGTAGTTACTCCCTAGTGCATAGGAATGAAAGCAGTTTTTTCCCCCAGTGATAACCTGTCAAACACACCTCTGCTTTCCCACCCTGCCCTGCCACAGTGGGCCCCCTGAGAAGAAAATGGGCATCAAGGCCTCAAACACAGCAGAAGTGATCTTTGATGGAGTACGAGTGCCATCGGAGAATGTGCTGGGTGAGGTTGGGAGTGGCTTCAAGGTCGCCATGCACATCCTCAACAATGGAAGGTTTGGCATGGCTGCAGCCCTTGCAGGCACCATGAGAGGCATTATTGCTAAAGCGGTGAGTGCCCTGCCTGAGTCCCAAATAGGAGTCACGTTGGCTCCCTTTTCTGTATGTCCCTGTTCCCTTGTAGGTGCTCCCTACACTAGAGATCCCTCCCCCACCAGCAGCGCCATACCTGCTTGCTAGCTTAGGTCTCCTTTCAGCATGGACTGAACTCTTGGTTGTGTCCAGTGCCTGTTCCTCTAGCTCAAGCCCAGCCCCCTCTCCTGAGACAGCTAAACCACAGTGAACCATAGTGAGGCACACGTGCTCTCTTCCAGGTGGATCATGCTGCTAATCGTACCCAGTTTGGAGAGAAAATTCACAACTTTGGGCTGATCCAGGAGAAGCTTGCCCGGATGGTTATGCTGCAGTATGTGACTGAGGTGAGGGCCTCCCAAGACCCTCTCTCTGGAGCTCTGTGGTTTACTTCCCAGTCGGTCAGACTACAACCCCCAGCAGCACCTGGGGCAGTGGGTCTCCAGCTTTACACCAATGCCCTAGGGGATGCGGGGAGGCATAGTCAACTCAGCTTCTGCAGGAGGAAAGTGATGTTGTTCTGACGAGGTGCTTCCCAGAGGTACTAGTTGATTCTACTCCCCACCCCTTACCTTCACCCCTTTCAAGGAGCCAAATGCCTGGAATCCCCTGATGAACTGACTCAGGACCAAATATTTAGAGGTGCCCAACCTGACCAGAGCGAGAAGGTGAATAGAAGGGCCTGTGGAGCTAGGTTAGATCTGGTCTTAGAGATCTGGCAGCTCAGGCTGAATCTCATGCAGCCTTTTTCAATTTTCTTCCAATGTCCCAATGATGCAACCTCAGTCCATGGCTTACATGGTGAGTGCCAACATGGACCAGGGATCCACGGACTTCCAGATAGAGGCCGCTATCAGCAAAATCTTTGGCTCGGTGAGGTCCTAGGCATGCTGGGAAGGAGAGTCCAGTTTGGGAGATCTGCTTCAAAACCAGTCTCTTCTGGTTCTTTGTCCTTAGGAGGCAGCCTGGAATGTGACAGATGAGTGTATTCAAATCATGGGAGGCATGGGCTTCATGAAGGTACACGGTGGTCCAATGTACAGGGCCTCTGCTCGGCCAGAAGTGGGTAAGCACATATCAGCAGGATCTTATACTCCGTCTCCCCCTGTGGTAGGAGCCTGGCATAGAACGTGTGCTTCGAGATATTCGCGTCTTCCGCATCTTCGAGGGAACTAACGACATTCTCCGGCTGTTTGTGGCTCTGCAGGGCTGTATGGTAAGTAGGAGGAGAAGTGGGAGAGTGGAGGAGAAGAGAGTGAGTCCTGACTGTTAGACTCTCTTCCCCCACAGGACAAAGGAAAAGAGCTCTCTGGGCTTGGTAGTGCTCTAAAGAACCCCTTTGGGAATGCTGGCCTCCTGTTAGGAGAAGCAGGCAAACAGCTGAGGCGGTAAGCTTAGGGGCCAGGGTTAGGGGAGGGCAGGGTGGTGTATGGCAACTAACCAGGCATTCTTTCCCTCAGGCGGGCAGGGCTAGGCAGTGGCCTAAGTCTCAGTGGAATTGTCCACCCAGAGTTAAGTCGGAGTGGTGAGCTGGTAAGCAATCAAGGGCTGGAGAGAGCCTGCATCAAGAGCTGCTGGGGGTGGCCCTCTGAGTCCTATGTACCTTCCCCATCTTTTCAGGCAGTGCAGGCTCTGGAACAGTTTGCCACTGTGGTGGAGGCCAAGCTGATAAAACACAAAAAGGGGATTGTCAGTGAGTGAACTCTACCCCATTACTGCCCCCCCTTTACTCTCCCTCCAACTAACACTCCCTACCCCCATCTCATCTACCTGACAGATGAACAGTTTGTGCTGCAGCGTCTGGCAGATGGGGCCATCGACCTCTATGCCATGGTGGTGGTTCTGTCCAGGTGAGGAGGCAGTGTGGGAGGCCTGAGCCACAGGGGATCCTGGGCTAGGGTCACAGCCCAGATTTATTTTATTTTCCTGTTTCCCACCAGGGCCTCACGATCTCTGAGTGAGGGCCACCCCACAGCCCAGCATGAGAAAATGCTTTGTGACACCTGGTGTATTGAGGTGAGACTCAGGGCTCCCAGGTAGGGGTTGGGAGGTGGGGGCTCAAGGCACAGGCCTGAGCCCCTCCTTCCTCCGCCCCAGGCTGCAGCCCGGATCCGGGAGAACATGGCTGCTCTGCAGTCTGACCCTCAGCAGCAGGAGCTCTTCCGTAACTTCAAAAGCATCTCCCAGGCCTTGGTGGAGCGGGGTGGCGTGGTCACCAGCAACCCACTTGGCTTCTGAATACTCCCAACCAGGGTTGGCCCGGTTATGTGCCTTCTCTCAAGCCAAAGCCAAGACTCCTTTCCCGGGGGCCCTGGTTTGCCCTGAAAGGGGCCTGGCGTTCCCAGGACCGTGTCTGCTTTCGTGCCTGCTCTTAAGAGCATTTACTGCCTCACAAATAATAAAGTTTCTGACAAGCCATGCTGTGCTACTGTCTCAATTCTTTCCCTCCACTGTCTGCCTCCCTCCCAAAGAAAGGAGCCAGAGGCGTGGGGAGTTGGCCTCTATTGCTTTATTTGGTGTTTTATACAAGTGACTAAAATAAATAGAGTAACAAAGGCAGCTACATGGCCCCAAATACCCCAGCTTCCCTGGACTGCTGTCTAGAGTACCCCACCCCCTTCCTCCTCCCAGGGTACCACTGACCACCTCCCACCCTGTGGAGGGCAGAGCTTACTGGCCAACTAGAGGAGGAGGTCACATTCTGGGGTTAGAAGAAGGGGCTCAGAAAATGAGGATTCTTCATATAAAAGAAAAAATGTCTAGTAAAAAAATAGTCCCAAAAAGGTTAGAAAGTCTATTTTAACCCCCAAAAAGGCTTATAAAAAAACAAGGCTAAAAATTAAACCAAAGGTCCCTTGCCTACCCCTGAGGAAAGGGGAAGGAATCAGGCACTGCTGGTCAGAGTCACAGTGGCAACAGCCTCACAGTAGGCAGCAGCCGGCAGGCTGAGGCAAGGCACTGCAAGGAATAAGGAGCACACGACTGAGGAGATACCCAGTCACAGAACAGGAGCACCGAGCGCCCCACGGTGGGTACTACATAACATCCACAAAGAACTCACTGGGATTGCCCATGGCCATGTGGAAGCTTTGGCGGCTGGCTGTTAGTTCTGGGGGCACAGAGCCCAGGTCTCTGACTGGAGGAGCCCCTGGGGGCTGCACTGCTGGAGGGACAGGAGGTGGGGGGGGAGGCATCATGACCACCATCATCGGGTTATAGGGGAGGGCCATGCCAGGGGGTGGTCCATAGGGATGGAGCCCTGGATGGGCTCGGAGGTTGGGAGCACCTCCAGTGGAGCCCCTGGATGGGGGAGGGCCCCCATCACCAGTCCCACCAGGTTCCCCGCCACGCTGAAGGCTGCCCCCTCGACTGGAGGGCTCAGACTCACTGCCACTGCCGGATTTAGACTCAGGGGCCCGCTCCTCAGGCCTCCCTGTGCGCCCCGCCCCCCCATCACTTCGTGTGGAACCACTGCTCCGGCTGCCTGTAGGGGGAGAGGGAAGGTGCCAACTGAGCCCTTGCCCAGGCTCCTCTGGCTGCCCCAGCCCCTGGTTCCCCTCTGATCCATCCTGAGACCTCTAGTATGGATATCTGGGAATGACTTACCCTCACTGTGCTGGCTGCTGGCACTGCCCCCACCATAGGTATAGGATGAAAGTTCATGGTAGGGTGGTGGCTGGGGGCTGTAGGGGTGTGGGGCTGGGTACTGGTAGGAGAAGGTGGGCAGCAGAGGCCAGGGGGTGGCTCCAGGCAGAGGAGCCAGGGTGTCCTGGTCCGAAGCCCCACTGGAGCCATCGTTGTCATTCAGAGATAGGTTGACTAGGTCTGGAAAGGAAGGGAGGAAATAAGAAGTCACTGCTTCAAGAGGCCAGGGCCCCAAGACACTGAAGGGAAAACTGGGAAACATTTCCCGAGACCCACCCATAATGGGAGTTAAAACAGGTCACAAGGGCCTCTTGACAGAAAATTCCCTATCTACTTCTGCCCTCAGGACAGGCACACAGCTAGAGCGACCATTTGCCTGTCTGTTTTAATACCACTTTCCTCAGCAAACAATGCCCTGAACCTGGTACATGGCTTTTAGAACAGCACATCAGTGGACGCCAACCCCCTCCAGCTCAACCATCCATGGTAGCCCTGGCTGCAATTTCTGGGCTAGGTTTGGGATTGGAAAGTCACTCTTAAGCATTAGGGCAAGGGAACTCACAACTCTCACAGCCACCACTGAGGTCTCCGAAGACATAATAGCACTGCTCAGAGAAGGTGATCTTGTTTACGGTGTGTCGGATCAGGCCTGCTTTCAGCAGCCCACTGGCATACTTGCGGGCCTCCCGCCGTTCAGGAAAGCCCTCCACGTGATGGTAGAGCCAGTCAACTACGTCTGAGCCTGGGAGCATCCACAGTAAAAAAAGGACTCAGATTCTCCTCCCAATTTCTGCTCTCACTCCTGCCTATGCCATTCTCAGCTTTAGTTGCCTCCTCCTCCCTTCCCGTGTCCTCTGCCAGGCCCCAGCCATACCCAGAAAGGCATTAGGGATGGTGATCTTGAGCCACATACGGTCCCGGACTTCCAGCCCAGATTCTGGAGCTGCCATGGCCTTGGTCACAGATGCCATATCCGTATGGATGGAAAGACTCCGGCCCTCGCAGCCTGGCAAAGAAGACAACGGGCATCAGGTAGGAACCACTTCCACAGGAAAGGCGGGTTACATCACTGCTGGATAGCCATCTCAGAAAGTGCTAAGGGCTCACCATCAGGCAAAGAAGATCCAGATGTAATAGTGCTCATGGACGAGGAGCCTGGATAGGCTGGGAAGGTGCCAGTCAGTGCAGCGGAGTGTGACACCCAGGCAGCAGGGTCAATTGGCTGGATGGGCTCATCTGGGACATAGAAGGCACCAAGATAACCACTTCTCAGTCCCAGAAAGCCAGTCCTGTCCTTTCCTAACTCAGATTCCTGTTCTACCTCTGTCTGGACCCTCTTCCAGCCATTCCCCATAGCCCAGAAGCCCAGGTCCAGCCTCCCTCCCACTCTCAGCTTCAGGCCCATCCTAAGCATCACTCACTTCGGGGGAGGGTGAAATAGGCCTGGGGAGAGGGATCCCAGCACTTGGCCACAGTCAGCACGATGGGGCTGTAGGGAAGAGAAGGTCAGTCAAGGGGGTGAGGAAGAAGAGAACTCAAGAGGGAAGAGGCCTGGAACAAGAATGGATTAAGAGGCAGAAAGAAGCTGGGCATGGTGGCTCACGCCTGTAATCCCAGCACTTTGGGAGGCAGAGATGAGAGAATTGCATGAGTCCAAGGGTTCAAGACCAACCTGGGCAACTTGGCAAGACTTTGTTTCTACAATAAAGCAAAAAATTAAGCCGGGCTCAGTGGCTCAGCCTGTAATCCCGCGCTTTGGGAAGCTGAGGTGAGTGGATTGCCTGAGCCCGCAGGTTCGAGACCCGCCTGGGCAACTTGGTGAGACCTCATCTCCACAATAAATCAAAAAATTAGCTGGGCGTGGTAGAGCGTGCCGGTAGTTCCAGCTACTTGGAAGGCTGAGGCAGAAAGATCGCTGGAGCCCAGCAGGTCGAGGCTGCGGTGGCCGGGAGCGTGCTGCTGCACTCCAGTCTGAGCGACAGAGTGAGACTCCAACACAAAAAAAAAAAATTAGCTGGGCATGGAGGCAGCTACTGGTTCCAGCTACTTGGAAGGCTGAGGTGGAAGGATCACCTGAGCCCAGGAGATAGAGGCTGCAGTGGCTGTGAGTGTGCCACTGCACTCCAGCCTGGATCAGAGTGAAACTCCGACAAAAAAAAAAAAAAGGCAGAAAGGAGAGAAGGAAGAGCACATACATGGGCCAAAGAAGGTGACGGTGGAAGGCTCCACAATGTGGATGACTCACCAGCACAGATAACTCTCAGAAACATACTGCTGAGTGAAACAAAGAGAGTACACGCTGTACAATTCCATTCACAGCAAGTTCAAAAACAGGTAAAACTAAACCCTGTTGTTCAAGGATACAGACATGGGTGATAACACTATGAAGTGAAGCAATGATTTTCTCTTTCATAGTGACGACCAAGGAAGTAAGGAGAGTGATTACCCCTAGGGGGAGTGAGGAGGTTGGGAAATGAAAGGGACATTTTGTGGGGAGGGTTCCAGGGTATCAGCAAATCTATTTGATGATCTAAGTGGTGGTGTTGTGGGCACTGACTCTAGAATTTTTCTCATTACACGTTTTTGTTCCATGTCCTTTGAATGTTGTATCTCACAACTTAGTAAAATTGCAAAACAAAAGCAAAAACACAGGGGGCTGAGAACCCGAGACCAGCTCAGACTCACCCAGGCTTGTGCACAATGTCTCTCAGTACCCGCACGGCATCATCATTGCTCATGTTCTCAAAGTTCATGTCATTCACCTGCAAGTGATGGCAGTGGGTCAGGGGCAGAGGAGGAGAGTATGAGAGCTCCTATCCAAGGCGCCATAGTGGCCCTGCCCCAGCACACCTGCAAAAGCATGTCCCCTGGCTCAATGCGTCCATCTGCCGCCACAGCCCCACCCTTCATGATGGACCCGATGTAGATGCCTCCATCTCCCCGCTCATTGCTTTGGCCCACAATGGAGATGCCCAGGAAGTTGTACTTCTCTGTGGAGAGAGTCCATGTGAGGAGGGGAAACCTGAGCCACATAATCCCCTGGAGCCCTAGAGACCAGGACCTCCCCATTCCCCCCAGCCTCAGGCTCCCTCCATACCCATGTTGAGTGTGACTGTGATGATGTTGAGAGACATTGTGGAATCTGTGACACTGCTGAAGGATGAGGTCTGTGGTAAGAAAAGAAAAAAAGCTGGAATGTCCTTCAATAGCCTGGGATTCTGTGTCCTGGTACCACCTAAACCAAGGACCATGCCCCTACTTCTCCAAGCCCCAGTTGTCCCATGGGAACCCCCTCACCCTCTCCAGGCGGGGTGGCCGCTGTTTCCTCCGTCGCCGGTGGCGCTTGAGGAGGCGGGAAGCACTGCTCTGCTCTGTGGAGCTGCTAAACCTGACAGGAGGTTGGGAAGGCAAGCACTTAAAAACCAAAGTGGCCAAGGGGCTAAGAGAAAGAACGAGCAGATTGAATGAAGGAGGGAAGGGGGGGCTGGAAGCCTTAGGGAGAGGAGTGTGGAGTCATACCTGCTCATGGTGTCATCCTCGTCAGAGTCTCCCAGGCTAGTACTCTCTAGCTCGCTGGTCATGAGCGTAGAAGAGCTTTCGTACCCCGCCAGGTGGCGCTCCACCCTTGAAGGGACACCAGGCCTGTGGCCCCCAGCTGCATAAGAACAGGGAGCTCAGGAACCCAGCCTCCCAATCCCCACCCCTACCAAGGATGAGTTCTCAGCCCTTTCCAGCCCCCAGGCCGGCCCCTCACCGCCATGCTCACTGCTGTCTCTCCTGCGAGGCCTCTCCCGCCTCAGTGACACTACTGACTCGGTTTCCGTCTCAGGCGCCAGATTCTCATGGCTACTGGACACATTAGGGCTAGATGGGTAGAGATGGTTTCCAACCCACATCAGAAGAGGGCTCCAAATCCTCAGCCTCTCCTCCTCATCTCCCTGCCCCGAACTCAAGAATCCCAAGGACTCACTGGAAGGACGGAGGCCTTGAGTCCCCAATGCCACTGGTCCTCTCGGGTGGCAAAGGGGGCAAAGGTGGGGGTGGAGGTGCCAGTTCTGTCCGAGGCTCATGGGCTGGAGGAGCCAACTCCGGTTGGGGATTATCTGATGACACTAGCTAGAAGGATGCAAATGGTAAAAAAAAGTGGCTCAACTGGAAGGTGAAGTATAAGAGATGGCAGTAAAGGAAAGGATCAGAAGGGGACAGAGACCAAGAGCACCTGGAGAAAAGCCAAAAATGCTCCAAAGAAAGCCCTCTAAACAGGTAAGGAGGCAAAGAACTGGGGCCTCCAATGCCTGGCAGGGAGAGGGCCACAGAAACAGACTGAGGCCTGGAGAACCTTGGCAACACTGAAGGGACTAGGCCCTCAGAGTCAGAACCTCTTACCCAGGATACCACCCTTCCGTTGAAGCAGGGGAGGCGGGCATTGTCATCTGAAATTTCTTCCTTCACCACCCTGAGAGACAAGATAGAGATCAGTGAGCTGGACTAGCCACCCCCAACCCCTTCAAAGTTTCTCCCAGTCTTCATCCAGCTCAAAGATACTGACTTTCTCCTGTCTTGTCCAGGTCCTCTTCTCTTACATTAGAACAACTCACTCTGACACCTAAGAATCTCCAAACTCAATTCTCTTTCCTTATTCCCCCTTCTCTCCTCACCTCATCCTCCAAGGCACAATGCTGCTCCAAAGACTTCTTTGAGTCTGATTCAAATCTCCCAGTCCAATTTCAAAGGCAATTCCCAGTGGCTACCCAGCTGCCCAAAATTAGAAGCTATCAAACTTAGGAGCTTTGTTGGTAGCCTCTCCTCAGCCCCACCCCTATTCCTTACACACCTTCCCAAAAAAGGCTCTGGTCCTCATTAAAGTCTCTACTCTTTTTTTTTTTTTGAGTCAGTATCACTCTGTCGCCCAGGCTGGAGTGCAGTGGCACACTCACGGCCACCGCAGCCTCAATCCTTCCGCCTCAGCCATCCAAGTAGCTAGAACTACAGGCGCACGCTACCACAAACAGCTGATTTTTTTTTATTCATTGGAGAGACGAGGTCTCACCAAGCTGTCCAGGCTTGTCTCAAACCCCTGGGCTCAGGCAATCCTCTCACCTCAGCTTCCCAAAGCGCTGGGCCATCACGCCAGCCAAGTTTCTACTCTTATATTTTGCTTTAGTTTTCTCTAATTCACTTCCAGAGAGCTGCCCAAATGTGTTGTTTTTGCCTCCGTAAAAACACCCATTGACCAAACAATAGTACCACTTCATCACCCTTAGAGCTCCCAAGGAGAAGGGAAGCCAGGCTTTCCAGTTCCCTGTGCTCACCTGGCACAAAACTGTACACTAAGCAATCTGCTTGGTCTGACAGATACTAAAGCTCAGCTTTAGGGGTCATCTCTCCCAAGAGTTTCCTGCAGTAGATTGGATTTGTCCCTCCTTTTTTTTTTTTTTTGGGTTGGGGG